TGTGTGTGTGCGCGAGTTACTGCAAGTCGTTCTTCCTTTTATAAATAAATGTCAACAAATGGCACCTGAATGTTCCTCTATTTCTGTTTGTTTCAAAACGCTTTAATTTAAAACAGGAAATAAACACAAGAATCTGTTGGGAGTGTGAGACGACAGATAAACTGATGTGACCTCTTGTGTTTGGTGCAATGGATCGTGGCTTTAAGCTGTCTTTTTTTAATTAGTGATGTTAGTTGACTTAGTTGAAACACTGATACGTGAGGAATGGATTGAAGAGAAAGCATCACTGGTTGTACTGCTACTACTACATTGACATTACTTAAAACAGACGCGAGGGATATTTGTATATTTTGTATAACTAAAGGAACGGTGGCCTGTCGTCCTGAATTTCATTGTACTGTACAAATGCACTCCTGTCTCGCTCCCTTAGTCGCATGTTGAGTAGTTTGAGTTTTGTATATTTATTGTATTAACACAAAAATTAAATAAAAAAACAACTACACAAACCATGTGTCTTATTTATTTTGTAATGATTTTCATTTCTGTTATGTATGTGTATATCTGTAGTCTGTTACTGATTACAAATCACATCACGAAAAATCTAGTTAATCTGGATTACACATATTAGGTAATGTAGTCTGACTACTTTTTGATTACTTTTAGATTGTTATTGTGTACCATATTGATGGAAATATATATATATATATATACCTACATGTAAATGTACACACACACACACACACACACATATATATATATATATATATATATATACATCATTCTTTGTTGTCAGTATCATGAAATGCATTATATATGTAGTTGTATACAACAATATAATATCAAAATGTTTTGTATATAGTCATGATAAGAAAGCATGCTTTGTTGTTTGTTGTTTCACATTAGAAACTAGCAGAAGGGAAATACTTTGCTTTTGGTTATTTGGATACTGCATGTCCTTCTCAACCTGTTGACTTCACTTTTCTCTTGAAACAAATGGATGTTAATATCTTTTAATGACTCCTGCCCCCTCCAGGACGATTATAGAACATCAGTCAGAACATCAGCTTTACCCAATACTGTACATTATGCGTTAATATGCTGAAAAACTATAGCAGATGTGATCATAAACACCTGGTTTAACGTTAAAGCTACAAAAATCCTCAGATGAGAGTACTGAAACAAACATATTTCTATCGAAATGTATAAGAAATGCTGTTGTACAATCAACTAATTTTTATTGTTTTCAGTTTTTTATGTATAATTGAATTTTATATACATTTTAACTCCTGCCCCCTCCAGGACGATTATAGAACATCAGTCAGAACATCAGCTTTACCCAATACTGTACATTATGCGTTAATATGCTGAAAAACTATAGCAGATGTGATCATAAACACCTGGTTTAACGTTAAAGCTACAAAAATCCTCAGATGAGAGTACTGAAACAAACATATTTCTATCGAAATGTATAAGAAATGCTGTTGTACAATCAACTAATTTTTATTGTTTTCAGTTTTTTTTTTATGTATAATTTAATTTTATATACATTTTAAACACTAAGAGACGGTACAGACAAAAATTCAGTATAAAAACATTCAGATGAGGTGAGTTGGGTAAAATGAGACATAAAGTGACATAAATCATAAAGGTTTTGTCCTCTAGAGGGCGCGCGGTTTCGGTGATTCAGCTATTGGGACGTTTTATATGCGAACATTTGTACACGAAAATGTATAATCGGTTATATCTGTGAACTACAAAGAGTAGTATCTCACATACAGATAAAAATCGCGAAAATAAATATCTAAAAAAAATGTAAAACATCCTGTAATCTTATCTGATTGAATCAGTCACAGCAGCGGTGAGAAAAGTAACAGGCGTCACGTGATACTCTTATGTACACCTATTAATTTATTTACAATAATTGCATCGAGAAACTTTAATAGCGATTGACTTGGAAAATGCACAGTAATATGCGCAAACAAAATAATAATTATCTATATACTTTTTCTCTCAGTAGAGGGCGATACTTCACCACTATTCAAAATTACACTAGATCAAAACTGTCTAATTTGACTTTTACATTCATTTTGCTGAGATTATTCTTTTACACTCACCCAGTTGAGAACAGACATTTAAAAAAAATATTACAAATGATATTACTAAAATAACTATTATATACATTGTATCTATTAAGCATAAAAATGACTTGCATGCACAGCAAGTATTCCATTATTTATGAGACACCCCCTCCATATCGATACCAGGACACAGAGATAAAAACAACAACAAAAGCAGAATTTCCCCTCATGATTTGACTGTAAAATGAGTCACACCTTTCTTACCTGAGCGGTCACGTGATCGCCGAGGAATGCGCTGCGCTCGTGAAGTGTGTCCGTTCAGAGAGGAGAAAAGACAGCCTCCGTCCCAGAGTGTGTATCATGGGTTTGTAGGAGTAAAGCTTCTCCTCGTCGGACCAGTTTTTCCAGTCGGATTGATTGATAACACAGAGAGAACAGCTCTTCCACTCTGGCACGGAGCGAACATGGAACAATAAAACGCATAGAACAGCTTCAGAGGAGTCACACAAGTCGATTTGAGATCGGTAAGTCATGTTTGGCTTTTAAAAGACGCTTTTAAGGGGTTTGTGTTCTTGTTAAAGGTGTTGTTGAAGGTGTGTCACACCTGAGTTCCTCTACCTGTGTGTGTTTTGACGGAGAAACTCCACAATCCTCCTCATCTGCGCGTTTCTGAAGACTTATTCCTTGTTTATCTTTAGAGCATGCGTTTAAACTCTCAGAAATCTTCTTCAGTGATTCTTAGATTTAGTATAAAACCCTTTTTTATTGAGGAACTCTGCTCTGTGGCTCTTTGGAGGTTAAACAAGTACTTGGTGCTTCGTTATAGGTTCTTTGGGATATGAAGCTTTTTAAACAAACCTTTATTTTAGTTTTTGAAACCCACATGTGGCTCTGTGTGGAGAATCATTTAATGTCATATTATTCTTATGCATGAATACTAATTATAAGCAGAATTTCAGTTTTTGCTTGACTTGTGCTCTATATTTACTATTTGCTTTGATTGTTCCATCCTGATTATGCACAAAATGACTTGCCAAACATACTTTATAGGAAAACATTACTTATGTTTGAGGTTTCTGAGACCCCAGCTATAAAAACAAGAATAAATGCTATTCATTTTTACATGCATTTCTACATATTTAAACCTAAACCTAAAAGGACCCCTCAAAACAGGTTATTATTGGTCTGTACGTGTATGTGTTAGGCACTTTTGGTCCCCAAACATAAAGTGCATTTTAGCTGAACGTGAGGGTTTTGAGTCTATGAGAGCAATAACCCCTCCAACTGTCCTGCAGTCAGAAATCAGAGCTCTTGTTTTTCTCAAAAGTTCTGTGTCATTCATGACAGAGGTGTTCATTTCATGTCTTTCTGTAAGTCACTTTTTCCATCATGTGTTCATGTCAAGTCGGACAAGCAGATTTTATAGTGTAGCACTTCTAATATTGCTAAATTAATGTCATTTTTAAACATAATAATGCTTAAAGTGATACCAAATGTACTTTATAATCAGAATCAGTTTTAACATCTTTTGAGCAACATATGCGTGTAATATTAATATCCTCTGGTTATTATTAATCAGGGTTTTCAGGGTTGTCTCGGAAAATCTAAAATAGTTAATAGCCATTTCTTTGTAATTAATTGTGAAATATACAAGCAATTTACGAGCGAAAATAGTTTCTAGACCATTTTTTTTATTCAGTGTAGTTATGCTCATTTATAATAATTTATTTAATACAAATATCTTTTTGAAATGCAATCGAAAATGATTTATTGGTTTAAATTTCAGTGAATTTTCCAGACCTGTAAATGAAATAAAATAAAATCTGAATTACAATAAGATCTGAACATCCCATAGTGAATATAATTTCTTTTCTACACTGTAAAAATGATTTTCAAAGTTGTAAATATCAGAGCATCCGCTTTACAAGAAAAAGCTGTTTCAGTATTTCTACTTCAAGATTTCATGTTTAATTCAATGTGTTCCTTTGTAAAACGAAAGGTCATTGCAAAGGCTTGTAAAAGTCAGATGGGTAAATTTAGAGGAAGTAGTTTCAGTTTTAATGTATTGTACGTTGGGCCATTGAGAAACAATCATGTGTAAATGCACAAGAAGCAGACTGTAAGTTAGTCTGAATGAGTGAACGGTGGGTGTAAAGCAGCACCGGTGGGACGTGTTTGGACTCGATTGCTGTTGTTCTTCTTCTGAAATGCATATTGTTCTGCTGTATGTGGGTTAAATTGAACCTCCTCTGTTCTGTAAAGAGCCGTATTACTCACAGAACTGGTTTCTTCTGTGTCCAGAAGGACCGCAAACATTGTGAAATGGAGTGGGTGCGGTTTCTTTCTCTTTGAATTACAATTTCAATCTGTAGGTTCGTTTTGGAGGCGCAGCAGATAAACACACCTGCTCATTTAACATCTCATTTACATTTATGCATTTGGCAGATGCTTTGGATTCAAGGTATACATGTAATCAGTTTGTGCATTTGCTGGGATTTAAACCCATGACTTTGATGTTGCCAGCATCATGAGCTACTGTTTAAACTACAGTAATTTACCATGTCAGAATGGTTAATATATTGGTAGATGACCTGTTTTCACATGCATCAGTATTTTTATGGCTGATAACCAGTATGATGCTAACATTTTTACAGCATGTGTGAAAAACACCAAAGGCTTAATTTTTTCTGGTATTATATTATTTACTGTAATATAGAAATGCTATTTTAGATTGTAATTGAGATCATTTAATTGTAATTATTTTTAGAATTACAGCCATTAACTAACCCATATAATGGTGATAGTTTTTATAAAATGTTTGATACATGTAGAGATACTATTTTAGTAAGTTTTTATATTTATTTTTCTCGTTTTCATTTTAAATTTTAGTTAAATCTTTAGTACTTTTGTTGTGTCTTTTTTTTAAAAATTATTTTTAATGTCTGTATATTTGTAAATAGTTTTTATTTCAGCTTTAGTTTCTATTATATTATAGTTTATTATAATGCTTATAATAAAATAATATGAAATAATGTAATTGTGATTTTATATACAATTATTCAAGTAAATATAGAATCAGAACACAATAATATTTGGCAGAAAAGATGCATAAATAATAGCAATGTTATTTTAGCATCGTAGATATATTATATTTTTTAGCAATAAAATTTCAGTACGTTTTTATATTAATATTCCTCATTTTCATTTCACTTTGTGTGATTTTGTCATTATTTTTTGTTTTCATGTCTGTATAGTTTGGTATTTTTTTATTTCAGTTTTAAATTATATTATTTCAACTAACAACTTTTTCAAAGTTTAGTCGACAATAATAACCCTGCACCATAGCACTGTTTGCATAAAATACTTGATTTGTTCGAGGCGTTCTGTGATTTAAATATTTTTGTATAATGATTGCTAAACTTAATTATGTGTTCATCTTGTTGATAGATCGATTGTTTCTATGTAATGGCCTGTTTTTCCTAGCAGAAGCTTTAAGTGAATCTATCTATAAGATGATAAACTCGGATCAGTATGTTTTGTACATTTATGTATTTATTTATACAGTAGTTGTTCAATAACTTGCAGTGATTATTGTAAAAGAGGTTGATACAAGACCGCTCCACTTTATTTTGCGGCAGTAGTGTCTCACAGATCCAGACCAGTGCTGCGTTCAATGACATCATCAGGTGTGATTCTTGAATTCCCTGTAGTTCATTTGTAGGTTAAATGTGCATGATTGAAACCACTCCAGATGTAGTTTAGTTAGTTGTGAGTCCAACATCAAGTGCATGGTTAATGCATGATTAGATGTCCGTCCCGGAAGACCCCCGCACATCTCCACCATCTCCTGTTTCTGCTCTCCTCTAGTCTTTCTCTAATGGAGGATACTGTTACCCATAGTGCTCTAGCAGGCATGAGAGGCCAAGCACATGTAGTGGAGTGTAACACGACTCAATTGTGTTCTGTAAGCAGACGTGGGAAAAGTTCACCTCTGCGGAGTGTTGCTAAACAATGTGCTTTAGAAGAAGAAGACAGACTTGTGTTTATATATATATATATATATATATGTATATGTGTGTGTGTATATATATATATATAGTATATATAAATGTTGCAGTACTTATTTATTTTATAAACGCATGTTATTTATTTATTTTCATGTTTATTTATTTTAAATTTATTTGCATATATATATATATATGTGTAAGTCACTTTTTCCGTCATGTGTTCATGTCAAGTCGGACAAGCAGGTTTTATAGTGTAGCACGTCTAATATTGCTAAATTAATGTCATTTTTAAACATAAAATGTATATATATATATATGTGCATGTGTATGTGTATGTATGTGTATATATATATGTATATGTGTGTGTATATATATACACCTTGCTACGTGTACTTTGTTAGGCTAACCGAGACTTATCATTTTAATACTAGGAGCACCTGTATTATATTATATATAATGTATGTATATGTGTGTAAATATATGAATGTGTGTGTGTGTGTGTATATATATGTATATGTGTGTGTGTATATATATATATATATATATATATTTGTATGTATTTTTACTTACTTTCTTTATGCATGTTCCTGATCTTATTATACACAATTCATCCATGCATGTTATTGTGAAGTCTTTTCACCATTCAATCAATTTTGTGATTGATAATATCAAGTCCCACACTAAATTTTTGAAATTGCACTGAAAAAAAAAACCGTGTATAAACAATTTTCACTCAGAAATTGCTAATAAAATTCAAAAGCAATAGAAAGTAACATATGAAACGTGAAATTTTAAAATAAAAAATAAAAAAAGTGTGATTTCTTTTTTTTTTCTTTTTTTTTTTTCCTCTCTGTTGCTCATTATTTGATCAAATTATATAGATTTGTAAATGCCTGATGCTAATGTCAATGTATAGAAAACAAGGTCAATGATAGAGTTTAGTTGCAAAACTGCTAAAATTAAATAGATCTTTATGTTGCACGCTTTTTCTCAGAATTCACTCAAGAATTTGGATCATTACATATTGCTAGCGTTGTTGGTAACTGTTTTAGAAATGACCCAAGGAAGAGCTAATACTCTATAAAACATGATTTTTGTAAATAAAACAGACATTATTGTGTATATTTTGCAAGAAAATACAATTTCAGTCTTTCTACCTCAATTTCATGTTTAATTTAATGTTACTTCTTGCTGTTTCTTTGTAATAAATTTACCAGCAATTTTTGTGCGAAATTGTTTCTGCACTAATTGCTTTTCAGTGTGTGTTTGCAAATTAAACTGCAATATTGCATAAGATATCAAATCTTCACTTCCTGCAAAACTGCTGTTAAATATCAGTAATAAAATAATAACAATATGTTGCAACCTAGGAAGCCTGTTCTGCATCCAGAAATTTATTCGTATTTTTATTTTTTTCACATTTATATTTTATGCACATTTAAAAGATGTTATGTATGTCTTGGAATTTCCATCCAGGATTTTTCAATGCAATATACCTAATTTTACTTAAAAATATG